GGGGATCAAGGAGGGCATTCAGCTGGCGGAGGTGGGGACTGCTCAGTCCCTACAGTGGGAGACGGCCGCTGCAGAAACCTGAAGGTCTGCTGCTAACAAAGGCAGGAGGTTTATTGATCAACAAATGGGAAATAATGGTCCTCATCACAAGAAGGCTGGTATTGATAGAGCTGAGTTAATAATGCTTAAAGGGAGGGAAGGAAAGGTCAATGTAGAAGTGAAAAATTGACTGCTGTCTTGTTAGGCCCAGATGCCTATATTATTAAATATAAACTTGGCAGTGCACCTCAAGTAAACCAGGAAACATAAATTATGTAAATTCATCTCCCACCTTTCTACTGCACTACATTAAAGGAAGCAGGGTAAGACTCAAAGTACATGATGAAGGGGGGAGATTAGAAGGAAATGCACATAAGCACAAGGGTTATAGCATGCATAGATCAGGTCATAAATTAATTTAAATATGAGGACTGTTAAGATCCTCTAGCGTAACCCTGGCCATAAAATTTTCTTTAGACGTTTTTCAGTGAAACCTTCACCTTTGTCTGAACAAGAGAGTATCCTCCAGAAGGACACTGAGGTTTGATTTAAAGGCAGAGCATAACAGAAAAAGCACTATATCCTTAATAAGTTAATGGAAAACTCATCTCTTATGTCCAATATAAACGTATTTTGTTTTACTTTCCAGAGAGACTGGTTGCCAAGCAGGAAACTTCAAGTGAAATAAACATCCTTTTCTCATTAGGACTAGAAAATCTAGAAAACGAGTATGAGTGGAAGAACAAAACATCAGTAACGTCAGGCTGGTATTATGCATTTAGATGTAGAAAGAGTATTGTGTTTAAAATTTGCTTCTTTTCATGTTGGCGTATTACAGGTCAGAGATGAACCTTTACCTGTGCGTCCCACTGGGAAACTGATGTCTGGCATTTTTAGAGCAGTAGGGTTATCCCAGTAAGTTTGCTTTTGTGTAAAACAAGCTTTCATCCTAAAGGTTCTGCTGCCCTGACAAAAATCAGACAGGCATTTCTGCTCTGGCATCCCAGGGAAGCAGAGCCCTCGGAGCCACCAAGGTATGAACCTCCGCTGCTGTTGCAGTGAGAACGTCCTGGTGAGGAGAAGGAAGAGGATGGGCTGACTGGCGTGAGACACACCGTCAGTGCGTGGCGGGAAGATAACTGGAGGGTTAGCCTAGTTAATAACTTGTTCTGCATCAGTGATTAACACCATCTCCTGATTAACAGCTGGGAAGGAGATACTGCATTTTGTGGCCACTTTCAAAGAAATCAGTGCCGACGGGGAAGGGAGCAGGTCTTAGAGGAACGACGCTAGCTTTGCCCATGCTGCATCCTTCCCTGCCTTCCGGCTGCTCACGGGTGTCTCTACCAGGTTTAGAAAACTTACGAAGATTCATGCTCTTTCAGGTTGCTGCCTTTCTGTCAGGTCTTGTTCAGATTGAACAGCGAGTTAGAAAAGTTGCAGGGGGAGGCAGGGATGTTGCATGAGGCCCAGCCCCTTGGGGACCAGGCCAATACTGACCACAGGCACGAGCCCTCACTGCTCCTTGCAGGATGTTTTCAAAGGAAAGAAGCTCAATCCTGTTCGCCACAAGACATGGGTATCAGAAGGAAGCCCAAAGCACAGACTACAGTCCTGCGCTGTTGTTATTTAGTGCAGCTCCCTGCAAAGGTGCCCTGATTTTACCATCTAAAACCCATAGCAACATTAGTTGGAATTTTTGCATGCGACTGTTTAGAAGCCAATGTTTGCTCAGCAAAACCTGTGCCTGGCTGTCTCCGCGAGCTCTCATTTGTCTTGCCTGTGTGGAATAGGGTGACCAAGATTGCCGCTGCCTAAAAATAACATCTCTGTTAACTGCCATCCCTGACACCTCCTCTTTGTAGCCTGATTTCCCATGGAAACAAGGCTGCTGCCATCGTGTTGCCTCTTTGCCTCTTGACCCCACAAATCACTTGCAGATCTGTTGGCCACTTTCAGGGAGATGTGGCAGCAGGGTGGAAGTCTTGAAAGCTGCTGAGCTGCTGCAATCTCAGCAAAATTATCTAGGTGGGTGGGAGAGAGAGATTCGGTCTTGTAACCCCCCGTGGGAAAGGGTTACGACAAGACCTCTGTTAGTGAGCAGCAGAGCACCTTGAGCAGCCTTGGCCACCAAGGCCAAGGAAGACGCACAGCTTGACTGCAGCAGCTTTGCTCACATTTGATATCTTTTTAAACAGCCAAAAATCCATCAGCAGGACACAGAGCCCCTGCAATGTCCGCTCCCAGGCCATGGGGAGCTCACTGGAGCACTGCCGGCAGCACGAGTGGACAGCTTCAAGCTGACCCTGAAGTGATTTAATCCTTAATAACAATAATTGAATGCTTGACAATTAGAGAAGAATTCTTATGCCGCTTGCTTGCCAGGATGTGAAAGTAATCATTTCTAAGACCCCTCACTAAGCTGTAATGCTAATCAGAATTAAGATTCCTCTTTTTCAGAGCAGAGTGCTACAATTAACCCCAGCATGCCACACACCGATTGCTGGAAGCTGGAAGCCGGTCAGGAGGCTGGGCTTGCTCAAAGACCTGGCCGGGAGCTCGCAGCATCTTGGTGCATCGCATGTGTAGGCAAGAAACACCAGTGGGAGTGGTTGTGTCTCAGTCCTGTCTCCCCTCAGGAGGACTCATCCAGGGGCTGCTTCTTTCCAGCAAGAACATACAGTCCCACCTCTGGATGGGTGGGAGCATCCTGAAGCAGAGATATCTGAGCAAAGATGGAAATGGAGCTGGGTCTCAGAGGTACTGTTGCCCAGCTCGGACACTGGGTCTGTACTGCAGGCTGAATGGCAAGTGCTGACAGGGAGGCAGTGAAGGTCCATGACTCTATGTCACTCAGCCTTGGTGTCCCTGAGAGCTAGCTGTGAGTCTCTGGCACGTGGTTCGCGCGTGGTGGAAAGTGCCCTCCTTGTTTTCCTTTTCAAAGGGAATTCTCAACCCACCTTGGCCTCTTCATTTACTCTCCTGGCATACTCATCAGCCATTGCCTCCCTCCCCTTGGGGTTTGCTTGCTTCCTTGTTGCTAGCAGTCAAACCCTCGCCACTGCATAACAGAGGGGGAAAAATGCGCAAATGTCTCTTTATTCAACAGATGGCTTGAAAAACCCAAGAAGGCTTAGCCTTATGTTGAAGGCACTTGTTTTAAGGACGCTTCATACAGCAGAATTGGAACACATGGTTTCCTTTTGTCACTTATGTCAAGACTGGAGCTGGGCTAAGAGGTGTCACCCCCACTCACCACTGCGTGCCTGTCTCCTTCCAGCTATGTGGAGAATCTCTTCTCTCCTTTCTCTCTGTCTTGATACTTTCCCTTTGATCTGTGTCTTCTCAGGTTTATTTTCCAAGATGCAGAAAGAGCATCATCAAGTGGGCAGGGGCAGAGCATCTCAGCAGAGTGCGTTCACTTGTCAGGTTATTTCTCTTCCATGTCGGGTTATTTCTTTTCCTTCCTCTTCCTGCACGGCAGACAAGGAGGGAACTTCTTTTACCCTGGCCCTAGGAGGAATCATCCCCTGCCAGGGGCTGGCATGGCTTGGGGATCATACCCAGCTCTGCTCAGCGCTGATGGCTTCACACCCAGGTTTATTGCGTTGTACGGTCCAGAGCGTGATGTACCATAAGGCCAGGACTTCCTTTTCAGAGTTGGCTTGGTGGCTTAAAAAAGCAAGTGTTGAGCAGAGCACAGAACTGGCCACTGGGTACCAGGAACCTCCTGTGGTTATAAAACAAGAAAACCAAAATAGCTTTAATGCTTTTCACACTGCGTAGGCTGAAGTGTTTTTTAAAATGGCCTTAGTTTGCCCTGGATGTGGTAAACAAGTTCTTCTGAGTCCTGAAGGACTGTCAGTGTGCAAGACACTGAGCGTGGCAGGACAGGCAGCTGGAGCCACAGCAGTAGCTAAACATCCCCCCGTTGCCTCAGATAAGCCCTGTACCTGGGTATAAAGGCCCTTTAGGTAGGGCTGCTTTGTGAGAGGGGTAGATGAGGGCTAGAGCTGCCATGCAATAACTTTATTGAAGTCGTAAACTTTTTTTCCATCTCATGGGTCTGCCTTCAGTGGTACTGGGGGCTCAGTCCAAGCATGGACCACTCGACTGAGCCATGCTGGCGCAGGCTGCTCTGCCCAGCCGGGTCCCAGCAGTGCATGGGACCTCACCGGGCAGGTAAGAGTGGATCTCACAGTGACAGCTTCCCCAGGCTAGCTAACCTTCTCCTTGGGACAAGCCAGGAGCCGAGGAGTCGTGGTGTCTGCCGCTAGATTGTACAGTGAGGTTATATGTGGCACACGGATTGTATCTGATTTTTTTTTCTCTTTAAAGCAAAGACCTTTTTTAGCATGCGAATAAACGCTCTCCTAAAAGAGAAGACACCATCTGCTCCTAAGCACAAATTTAATTTTCCAAAGGGTTAGATTTAAATAAGATCCATAGGCTCAGAGTAGTGGCTGGGGGAGCCTGTAATGGGTTTTTGCCCCTTCTGCATCCTGCTGGAAGCAGATGCCTTATTTTATGGGAGGGCGATGTGGTGCCTGCAGTGAAACAGGGGTTCTGGCAGCTGGAGACTCCACAAATTCCCTGAGCTCCCCAGGGCCTGATGGTTAAACAGGTGCCTGCAGGTAGGCTTAGAGCATTGACATGCAGGCAAACGATGAGGGCCCTGCCATGCACAGCCTGTGCCCTGTGGGGCTCCACCTCCATCATCCTCCTTAGGGGAGTCAGCAAGCAGAAATTACAGCTGCAGCGAAGCGCCTTCTTGTGCACAGTGATTTGTGATCTGGAGCACCGACAAGCACCTGGCTGTTTTCTCCTGTGTGGGTGCTAAAATTGCCAGCCAGCTCCCCAGTTACACCAGCACAGTGCCACAGTGCAACCCCTTTGGAGCACTGGTCCCATGTCAGCTGAGCCGCCTGGCCCTCACGCGCTTTGCCTCTCCTGCCTTCCAGCCGCTGGTGTTGCTGATGGAGTGGCCTGGAGCACCCAAACTTCCCTGAGAAGATGATATTCCCCAGGCCCCCCAGCCAGCCGCCCCCACCTCAGATTATCAAGGCAGGTACGTTTCAGCCTCTGTTTTCTGTGCGAGCCCCTTCCCCAGCCTCCCAAGCCTCCTCCTCCCCCCTCCACCCAGAGCTCTGCAGCATCAGAAAGGAGAAGGGTTTCTCTGGCATCTCCCCTCTGCTCCTATTCCCCCTGCAGAACCAGCAGACCCCCTTTTAACCAGAAAACAAGGAGCAGGGAGACAAGTCCTCATTTTGGATAAGCTCTGACTTGTGGTGTCAGCCTGGGCTCTAAACACTTATTGCAAGTGTTGTTCTGGCAGCTCCTAAAGCAGATCCAGGAGGTGCCATTTGAAAAGGGCTGTAATGCTGCCAGCGAAATGCTGGGTCCTCGCAGAACAGCATGTGCATTGCCGCAGGGATGCAGCACACGCTCCTTGGCTGGGATCCCGGCTCCAGAGGCCAGCATGAGGGTATGCACTCAGCCAGGGACTGCACTCCTGCTGCCTCTGGACACTGCCACCATCATCAGTGGGGATATGGGCTGCACGGGCAGCTCTGCAAGCACGGCGGCTCTGCTGATTTCCTAAATCGGGAAGGAAGCTTTGGTGTCCCAGCTTTTCAGGTACCCAGCCTGATACAGGGAGCAGAGGGCTGGTCTGGGCAGAGCAGGACACTGGAACAGCTAAAGACAGGTTCTGTCCCACCAGGCACTGATGCTCCTTTCCTTGACGATGGATTGCAGGCGTGAGTCACCCTCAAATGATTGATAATTCTCAAGAGTGATTTCAAACAAGAGCCAACCATGAGCTACATGCTGTTGTTCCATGCAGGTGTTCACATTGAATATGTTTTGTATAGAGAAGTACAAAATCCATGAGCAGTGGCTGCAGATGGGCAAAATACCAACCCAGCTGACTGTGGAAGGTTGTGCCCAGATGTCCCGAGTGACACTGCAGCTGCAGAGAGCTGTGACAAGTCTTCAGTTGAGCTGACAGAGTGTCAAAACTGCCTCCTCAATTTGGGACTAGCTGGGGGAGGTGGGAGAAGTGCCGAGAGCTAGCAGGGTCCTTGGGAAAGGACTCGGTGCCTCTGAGATCTGAGGAAGGCACCCAGGCATGGACTTGGCACTTGTGGGAGGACATGCTCACAAGAGGCATCAGGAAAGCATCTGCGGCAACCTCAGTGAATCCAGGGAAAGACCTGGCAGGTGATGTTGGTGTAAGTATACATGCAAGGGTTCCTTTTGTTTCTCCACCTGCACTTCTTATTGACAGCTGTCACTGTGCTCTCTGCTCTGGGTGACCTACAGAAACACATTTAGTCACACTTTGCTATGAGTGGAGGGCATTTCCAACTTCACTGGCTATCATCGGAGTGGTCCTTCCATGGGTCATGTCACTGCGAGATGGGCTACAGGGACACATGGGGCACATGACTGTGAGGAGTCAGAGGAATGTAGTAGGAAGTGGAGGGCATCCTAGAACATCCCCAGGGGCTCAGAGGGAGGCTGGCGGTACCCACAGTTACTGGTCATCCAGGGGATGTCTCAGCATGTGCGAGTGTTGCTTTTCCACACAAGCAACAGTGATAATAGCCAGGATTTTAACTCGGGGAGATTTTGCTTCGTGGGCATGGTCCAAACCTATGCGAAAAGGGGTAGTAGATCTTGCCCTCTTCTTGACAGTCTCAGAAACCCAATGTCACTCTGCAGGGGACTGGAGCGAATGTGAGGGGAAGTCATGATGTGGGTAGCACAGCAGTGGAGCGATGGATCCATGCTCTTCATTCTGAAGAGCTAGCCCCTCTCTGGATGGCCTGGTCTATCCTCAGGGGTGCAGTGAAAACCTCTCTGACCAGTGGAATGGAACAGCGAAAACCGCTCTGACCAGTGGGGTGGAACAGTTTCCCTGCAGAGCCAGTGCACTCAGCCCAGCCGCTCAAGCATCCTTCAGGAGTGAATTCAGTGTCCATTGAGAAAACAAAGTCTGTTCACAGTTCTGGTCTCACTACGGCTGCAGGCTGAGCTGTCAGGAGCTAGGCAGATCACAGGGAGCAGGGACTGCTGATCATTAGCACATCTCTGCAGGAACGATAAGAAAGCCCCACTGGGATGAATCAAGATAGCTTTCCAGGCTGCTGGCAGGCTGTGCCAGAATCTTAGATGTGAAATCAAGCCCTGGCCCATGCTTCTTGGCTAGAAGAGGAGCACATGCATCTTCCCTGAGGCCCATTAAAACCTCCTGATGAACCACAGACATTTTTAGAAATGCACGCTCTGTCCGGATACTGTCAGATCCATGTCTCTGCATTTACATGCGGAGCCCCATGCCAGATCCTTGCTCTCCACAGGAAGGGTTGTGCAATGCTGGAGCTGCACAGGCGATTCGCCTCCCTGTCCCTTCCTCTCCCCGCTCCCACCAGCAACCACTGTCAGCCAAGCAGCTCCATGCCCTTGGTTGCTCTCTCAGCTCTTCGTCAGGACCTTCTCCCCCAGAGCATCCAGCAGCTGGATTATGGATTTTAGGGTTTTGGCTATTCAGAAACACGCCCCGGCTCAGCATGGGCAGCCAGCGAGGCTGTTCCAGCGGGGCAGGCTGCTACCATGACACATCAAAGCTGTCTGGCTTTGGGAAAGCCTCTGCTTCGGTCTGTGCCACCCCACCACAGCGCAGAACGCGCGTCCCCAGCTGTGGCAGCCTTTTGTTCGCTCACACATCTGTCATTTCTGAGTACTGCTATGTCCATAAATGAGAGAGATATAATTTTGATTGTGATTTTAGCATTGCAGGTGATGAACAGTAATACAAACGTGTGTTTGGGGAGATAAATTGTCCAATTTGTTGATCTAAAGAATTTAATTAGGATTTATTTGATTTAATTTATACTTGGTAAGACAGAGCCTGCATCCCCCTGGCAGCCGTCCTCAGCACAGCTGCACAGTTCAGCCTGTACTGACAGATGCCCCTCCTGAGGGCTGGACCACTGGCCAGAAGTTCAAGCAGTATTGCAGCTGCTTGCCTTGCACGAGGGAGCAAGGGGAGGCTGTCGCAGGGAAATGCTTAACAGCAGGAGCAGAGGGCTCTTTCAGAGCTAGCCTGATCCAATAGCTGTCAGCCAGACAGAAACAATGCATGGACCATGGGCAGCGAGGGACAAGGGTCTCGAGGGGTGTCTGTCACTTAAAGTCTGCCGAGCTACACTGGATGTCTGCCCGAAAGGCAATATTGCACCACGTTTAGCAGTCTCTTGAGGAAAACTGCTTGGTCTGGACAATGTTATGCAAAAAGAAGGGAATGTACAGGTAGTGGAAGGAGGGATGGGTATCCTGGGAAGAGTGGAGGGACGCTGCCCGGTTGTGTAGGAACAGTGTCAGGAAGGCCAAGGCGCAGATGGAACTGAACGTGGCAAGGGATGCAAAAAGTAGTAAGAAGGGCTTCTATAGATACGTCAGCCAGAAAAGGAAGGTCAAAGAAAGTGTACCCCCCCCGATGAACAGGACTGGCAGACTGGTAACAACAGATTAGGAGAAGGCTGAGGTACTCAACAACTTTTTTGCCTCTGTCTTCACTGCCAGCCTCTCGAGTGGATGAACCAGAAGACGAGGACTGGGGGACCAAAGTCCCTCTCACTGTAAGACAAGATCAGGTTTATGACCACATGCGGAACCTGAACATACATACGTCCATGGGACCTGATGAGATGCATCCCAAAGTCCTGAGGGAATTGGCTGGTGTAGTTGCCAAGCCACTCTCCATGATATTTGAAAAGTCATGGCAGTCAGGGGAAGTCCGCAGTGACTAGAAAAAGGGAAAGGTTGCACCCATTTTTAAATAGGGTAGAAAGGAGGACCCTGGGGACTACCAACCTGTCAGCCTCACCTCTGTGCCTGGGAAGATCATGGAACAGATCCTCCTGGAAGCTATGCTAAGGTGCATGGAGGACAGGGAGGTGATTCGAGACAGCCAGCATGGCTTCACCAAGGGCAAGTCCTGCCTGACCAACCTAGCAGCCTTCTGTGATGGAGTGACTACATCAGTGGACAAGGGAAGAGCTACAGATGTTGTCTATTTGGACTTCCATAAGGCCTTTGACATGGTCCCCCACAACATCCTTCTCCATATTGGGGAGAGATGGTTTTGATGGGTGAACTGTTCAGTGGATGAGGAATTGATTGGATGGTCGTATCCAGAGGGTAGTGGTCAATGGCTCAATGTCCAGACAGAGATCGGTGACAAGTGGTATCCCTCAGGTGTCCATACTGGGACCAGTTCTGTTTAATATCTTCATCAATGACCTAGACAGCAGGATCAAGTGCACCTCAGCAAGTTTGCAGATGACGCCAAGCTGTGTGGTGTAGTCAACACACCTGAGGGACAGGATGCCATCAAGCAGGACCTGGACAAGCTTGAGAATTGGGCCCGTGTGAACCTTATGAGGTTCAACAAGGTCAAGTACAAGGTCCTGCACCTGGGTCGGGGCCACCCCCAGTATCAATACAGGCTGGGGGATGAAGGGATTGAGAGCAGCCCTGCTGAGAGTGACTTGGGGGTACTGGTGGATGAAAAGCTGGACACAAACTGGCAATGTGCACTCACAGCCCAGAAGGCCAACCGTATCTTGGGCTGCATAAAGAGAAGCATGGCCAGCAGGGCGAGGGAGGTGATTCTGCCCTTCTACTCCACTCTGGTGAGACCTGACCTGCAGTCCTGCATCCGGCTCTGGAGCCCTCAGCACAGGAAAGACGTGGAGCTGTTGGAGCGGGTCCAGAGGAGGCCACAAAAATGATCCAAGGGCTGGAACACCTCTCCTATGAGGAAGGGCTGAGAGAGTTGGGGTTGTTCAGCCTGGAGAAGAGAAGGTTCCGGGGAGACTTTATTGTGACCTTTGAATACTTAAAGGGGGCTTATAGCAATAGGACAAGGGGTAATGGCGTTAAACTGAAAGAAGGTAGAGTTAGATTAGATATAAGAAAGAAATTCTTTACTATGGGGGTGGTGAGGCACTGCAACAGGATGCCCAGAAAAGGTGTGGATGCCCCTTCCCTGGAAGTATTCAAGGTCAGGTTGGACGGGGCTTTAAACAACCTGATGTAGTTGAAGGTGTCCCTGCTCACTACAGGGGGGGTTGGACTAGATGACCTTTAAAAGTCCCTTCCAACCCAAACCATTCTATGATTCTATGATTTTACAATCTGCATATGCAGGACATTTCTTCGTGCACTCACTACTGGCAGCTAGGCCCGGCAGGTTGCAGAAGATGGTTTCACAAAAGGCCAGCGAAGTGGCCTGGCTGTGCCACAGGGGACACACATGTCCCACTGCAGTCCAGCACGCTGAGGGCTGGAGGGCAGAGAACACATGGATGCTTCTCCAGGGTAAGCAGGAGTTTTCCCCATGCTGTTTTCCCTGCTTGCGGGTGCTGCTGCTAATGTGCCCGTTGTGGTTTTGGTTTAGATTACATCAACGCACACAACCTCCACCGGCCTGCCACGGCGGGGCACACGGGAAAGAAAGAGAGCGGGTTGGTGGGTGGCTCTACCGACGGCGCTGGAGCAGCTCCAGCCACCAGGGCTTCGGACTCGGAGCTCATCAGCTTTTGCTACCTGCACATGCGAGAGCAGAGGAAGGAAAGAGAGAGCAGGACGGATATCAATGAAAACCTGATTTTTTTTGAGGAAACTCGTCCCAGGACCAAATCTGACCCCACTTCCAAAAGCTCTGGCCAAGGCTACAACGAGGCAGCTAACAAGTACGGCCCGGATGGCCTTGACCAAGACAGGTACACAAGCAGGGCCAGGGCACACACCATAGACACCCACCTGCGGAGCGACGCCTCGCACTTCTACTGTGAGTCCTGCCAAGCCAAATTCTAGAGCCGGCTGGCCTCATGCAAGGGGAGCAAGCCTGGCAGCACCCGGGACAATATGGTAGACTTGATGTCGCTTCCCCCTCCCGGGAGCGATGAGGAAGAAGACGAGACAACAGCCCTGCTCCCTGCCATCGCTGCCCCCCCTCCCGGCTTCCGAGACAACAGCTCAGACGAGGATGACCCCAAGCGCCGAGCAGCTGCCCAGAGCCAGGAGCAGGGCCGGCACCTCTGTGGCATCCTCTACGACGAGATCCCCGTCACGCTGATAGACAACGTGCAACCACGGACGGTCCGAGACCATGCCCAAGAGCTGGACGATGCCCTGGTGTCCACCCTGCAGGCGCTGGAAGCCCTGGCTGCTTCAGCCCCCCCCCCCCCGCCACAGCAGACAGCAGGTATTTCAGTGGCTGTGACTTTCTTCTTTCCATGTAGCGTTTCTTTCCTATGGTACATCCTTCCCTTTAGTCTCCTTCTCCACCCTATATGTGATTGTGGAGCAGCTTCTAGTAAAAACGAAGTCGTGGCAACAGGCTTTAGCAGGAGCAGCCAAGCTGTTGCTCAGAAGATTTTTAAGAAGCTGAGGTGGGACTCCTCTCCCTGACAGTGGCTGAAGGGGACTCTTGGTTACCTGTATCTGCTATGGTCCATGTGCCAAGATGCTGGGGTGAGGCGCGAACAAACCAGTACCATGAGCATGAGTTCCTCCCTGCTGTGACCCCACTCAGCTGGTACCTTTGGCCCTTGGTCTGCACAGGTACCCACCCAGGTTTTGCAGCGTGTGAGCCCTTCACAGGGCAAACCTGCTGTCAGGTGGGCATCTATGGGACCGGCCTGCTGGCAGCACAATCCTTTGTCCCTCTTCCCGCCTTGGTTGCCCTACTCACTACAGCAGAGTAGCTGTTGCTCAGTTTTCCTTCTTGCTTCAGACAAGTCCCTGTAGCTCTGCTATCACTAACACTGGAAAGCTTCCCAGGACCTTTCCCTGAGCCAGGAGCTCTTGCTGAATTGAACTAGCAAGACAGCTCAGTGCTGACAAGTGATCTCACTTGTAAGCATTAACTCTTAGTTGCAGGAAGTCACTAAAGTTTCTCTGATAGGATGCTGTGTCCTGCATTCCTGGGACCCTCCTGCCGCATGGCGTTCCCCTCTGCTCCGCGTAGCAGTGTGGTGTGAGTGTTGTCATAGAGTTTTCTTTGTGTCCCTCCTCAGGTCTTATTGTCCTGGCTGCCATCACTCCTGAGTCATCCTTGGATTCTGGCCATGAAACCAACTCTTCAGAGCTCACTGACGTCTCAGAGATGGTCTCTGCCATGAAGCAGCATCAGAACGCAGCCTACTTTCTCGCTCAGCACATCAACAAAGAAAACCTCCTGTCCAGAAAGGACTTGCCTTTCCGAATCCAGAGCTGTGCTGCCCAGGCTGTTCTCACCTCACCCTATCCCCTCAGCCGCCAGGAGCCGAGCCCTTCACTGAAGTCAGCTCTCTCTCACCAAAGCCCCAACCTTACCAACTGCAAGAGCAAGCAGAAGCAGCACCATGCTGAGCAGAGCTACACCTTGGCTGTCCAGCCAGTGCTGACCCCCCAGCCTAATGAGCAGAACAGGGGGGCTCCAGTGCCAGGCTCTGAATGCAAAGGTGCAGGCCACACAAAAGCTGCCTTTGAGGCATCTCTGCATGCCACAGCAGCCCCAAGCAGGGAGCAGGCACAGGATCTGCAAGAGAAGATGCCCAAAGAGGTCCAGCCAAGCTCCAAGCTCCTTCTGGATCAAAAAAGTGGTGTAACTCCAGCCATCATTTCGGCTGCTCTGCAGCAAGTGGCAAATGCAAAAGCCTCAGTCCCCCAAGTGGTAGCAGTCTCAAAAGAAGACAAGAACGTGAATGGTTCCACTAGCTGTGCATCAGCCAGCAGCAAGCCTTTGAGACTTAAAGGAGGTCCACAAACTGCAGAGACATTATGCAACTGTCAGCAGCAGCAGCAACTATCTCCACAGCAGCACTGTGAAGTTTCTCCAAGTCCTAAAGACATCCATGGCAGTAAGGCTGAAGCTTTCCACCTCACCTCACTGGAAGAAGAAATGATGCCCGGTAAGACTTTTACCTCTAAAAGCTACCAGCAGAAAGTGAGTAGAGATGCTCCAGGAAAAGCCACAAGCGGAGAGCCAGGTCAGAAGGCAGGTGGGGAAGCCACGAGCCTTGCCTTTCAGAAACACATAGCTCCTTCAAACCAAGGACAGAAAATGCAACAGGAAAGTTCAGCCAAAAGCTTAAAAGCTGAGAGCAGCACTCTGCACTCTCCATCACCTGGTAGCACTTTCAGGAACAGCAGTGAGGAACCCAAAGGGCCAATCCAGCTGGTGCCCAGATCCGAGAGCCTGCAGATCAGCACTGTGCCTTCCAAAAAAGTAGAAAAAGTCCTGGAGGTGACCCAACAAGATACTGATGTCCCAGCTAAACCCAAAGTTCCAAAAGCTCCCTTCAGGTTGAAGAACCTGTTCTCTGCAACATTTCCGACCCGGCTGAAGAAGGAGACGGATGAGCGGCAGGCCCAGCTGCAGAAGGTGAAGCAGTATGAGCTGGAATTCCTTGAAGAGCTGCTCAAGCCAAAGACCAAAGGTGACCTCCCACCACAGGAGTATCTGCACCCTCCTGCCCCTGGGCGCTGCAGCTGCCAGCTAAGGAGCAGTCCTGTGCAAAAAGTCCCAGGGATGTCCAGGGAGCAAAGGCGCAGCTGCGACTGCAAGCGGATTTGCAGGGGGGTGAGGCCACCCCCTAACCAGTTGGTGATGCCAGAACTGGAGAGGCAAGGGAGGGATAAAGTTGCTGATGACCAGGAGCAGACGGAAGCCATTAGGTTGACAAGTGTGAGCAGCCCTTCCAAAGGCAAGCGGATACGATCCACAAGTTTAGAGTCCAGAGACTACCGGTCAGATCCAGAGAACAGCATGTCCTGTTTGACAACGTGCACTTCCCAGGGGGAGTGCATGGGTGCTCCACACTACAGGAAGCTCTTGCGTCGCTACAGTGTCAGTGAAATAGATAAGACTGATAGGACATCCCTGTCCTCTGACATCTACCAGAACATCTACACAACCAAGCAGAAAGGCCCCCAGAAAGAGCTTGAGCCCAGCATCCTTTGTCCTGTTCTGAAGAGCAAAATCCAGGAAGCCTCTGGAGTGGCTGACCCCTCCTATGTCCAGATAGCACAGGAGAAAAAGAACCAGAAGGGGTCAGCAGTGTTCTGTCCTGCTGAGCTGCGGGATGAAGACATGGAGGATGAGAAGTGCTGCTCCATCCGGTACTGCTTCTACTACAGGAAATGCGATGTTGCAGATGATGGGAGCGAGAAGGACGAGCTGTCTTATTCCATCCCCATGCAGATACTCCCGGGAATGAAGCTGGACAATCAGATGGTCCCAGTCATGAGCAGGACTCTTCAGGTCCTAGATGCAACAGCCTGCAGCAGTCCTAATGACAGTCAGACCCAGGAAATAGATTTAAGGACCTCTAGTTTTGAGGGGAGCTTGGCAAAGATCAACACCCTTCGAGGCCATACCTACAGTTTTCCCAATGGGTTTCTGCAAGTGCAGCTGGACACCAATGAGCTCCTGACTATCCTGAGGCAGTGTGTGATGAGCCCTGACGTCCGGGACTCCAAACCCTACATCTCCCAGCTGGCTGAGTACAAGCAAGAGCTCGCCCTGAAATTCAAGGAGTTTCGGGCGTCCTGCCGCCGCGTGGCAGCCGTCGACAAGAGTCCTACCCACATGCTCTCCGCCATCACAAGCAGCTTCCAGGTGCTAAGCAGCCTCAATCGAGACGTTTGTGAGGCTGGTGTACGTCGTGCGCTCAGAGTCCCAGCGCCAAGAGCTGCTGACAAAGGTGGAGGAAGTGGTGAGAAACTACACCTTCCTCCTGAAGGCTGCGGAGGAGTCCACAGCCAGAACACTGAGCCACCAGCAGACGGTGGAGCAGCTTGCCCGCCAGTCAGCCACGGTTGCCACTGTCATGAGCACGCTCACACGCTCCCTAAAGACGTTGATCAATAAGTAAGCCAGCTATGAAAACCAACAAGCCAGTGTGTGCCAGGCCATGTGCTAGTGGCTCTCAAATTGCATAGGTCTGGTGAGGATGCGTGTCTACAGGCCCATATCTACTGGGCTTTGCAGTAGCCAAGATGCTCTTTTATCTCTGCAGAATGGAAGGTTGTGTTGGTGGTGTTTTTGAATGGTAAATTCATGCCCTGTCACAAGCTGTGCAACCAGCTCTTCAGGGGTGTCAAGCAGCTGCTCTGCTTGCTCTCCCATGCTGGCTTGTTGGTGACAGTACTTGGGGAACACAGTCACCCCGTCTCCACGCTAGTTTGGTTTCATGTGGTTCTGGGCCTCACTTGTGCAAAGACCTTTATCACGGCTTGTGGTGGGCCAGTGAGTTAGACAGAACTGAGCTGAGATCTCCTGGCTTTATTTGGGCAGTTTAGAGCCAAACCAGTGTCTTGCCACGTAAACAGCTCTTCTGCCTCAGGGGTCTTCCTGGCCCACAAATGCAATGTAATCAGTAGCAGAAGGGAGATCTGGGGTGCAAGTCCCTGCTGCTATGCTAGGGCTTGGAAAGTAGTCCTAGCATGGGCAGAATGCCATAATCCTGGAGCAGAGCTAGGCCACCCTAGCAGGCTCTAGTCTCACAGCTTAGGCACCAATGCCCTAGTCCTGAGTACACATACTGCCTGTACAAAGGGCGAGGGCTTAATGCATGCAAGTAGGGAGGATCCAGGGAACTACAAGCCTGTCAGGCTGGCCTCAGTGCCAGGGAAGGTTATGGGGCAGATCATTCTGAGTGCCATCACATGGCATATGCAGAACAACTAGGTGATCAGGCCCAGTCAGCATGGGTTCATGAAAGGCAGGTCCTGCTTGATTAACCTAATTTCCTTCTACAACAAGGTGACCCGCTTAGTGGATGAGGGACAGGCTGTGGATGTTGTCTACCTAGACTTTAGCAAAGCCTTTGACACTGTTTCCCACAGCATTCTCCTAGAGAAACTGCTCGTGGTTTAGACGGGCATATTCTTCGCTGGGTAAAAAACTGGCTGGATGGCCAAGCCCAAATAGTTGTGGTGAATGGAGTTAAATCCAGTTGGCGGCTGAGCACTAGTGGTGTTCCCCAGGGCTCAGTATTGGGGCCAGTTCTGTTGAATATCTTTATCAATGAAGTGGATGAGGGGATTGAGTGCTCCCTCAATAAGTTTGCACATGTCACCAAGTTGGATAGGAGTGTTGATCTGCCTTGAGGGTAGGAAGGCTCTGCAGAGGGATCTGGACAGGCTGGATAAATGGGCCAAGGTGAATTGTATGAGGGCTGGAAAGCTGCCCAGCGGAAAAGGACCTGGGGGTGTTGGTCGACAGCCGGCTGAACATGAGCCAGCAGTGTGCCCAGCTGGCCAAGAAGGCCAACGGCATCGTGGCTTGTATCAGGAAAAGTGTGGCCAGCAGGAGTAGGGAGGTGATCGTCCCCCTGTACTTGGCACTGGTGAGGCCACACCTCGAATACTGTGTTCAGTTTTGGGGCCCTCACTACAAGAAGGACACTGAGTTTCTGGAGCTTGTCCAGAGAAGGGCAACGAAGCTGGTGAAGGGTCTAGAGCACAAGTCTTATTGAGAGCAACTGAGGGAACTGGGGTTGTTTAGCCTGGAGAAAAGGAGATTCAGGGAACACCTTATCGATCTCCACACCTCCCTGAAAGGAGGTTGTAGCGAGGTGTGTGTCAGTCTTTTTTCCCGAGTAACAAGTAATAGGACAAGAGTAAATGGCCTCAAGTTGCACCGGGAGAGGTTTAGATCGGATATTAGGAAGAATTTCTTCACTGAAGGTTGTCAAGCATTGGAACAGTCTGCCAAGGGAAGTGGTTGAGTCACCATCTCTGGAGGTATTTAAAAGACGTGTGGACATAATGCTTATGTCTTGGTGGTGGACTTGGCAGCATTAGGTTAGTGGTTGGACTCAGTGATCCTAAAGGTCTTTTCCAACCTAAATGATTCTTTGATTCTGTGCTCCCCTTCCTCTGCTGGATGGTTGTGTCCATGCTAGAGAGCCTGCAAGGAACCCAGACTGATCTTCGAGCATTTCAAGCCAGAAGCTGGACTAGCAGCTGAGAAGAGACCTCTTTCACACCATTCTCTAGAGGTCAGGTGCGTGCCTCCAAGGCTCAGCCCAAACGCTCTCCTATCTCCTTTCACTATTCACATTAGAGAGGAACCCCAGACCAGCTTTGTCTGTGAGCCACAGCTTGCCCCCGAGCCAGGCAGTGCTACTGCCATGGGCCAAAGGAGCTGCCCTCCTTGCCAGGGCGTTGGAGTCCTTTTCCTGTCTCCACCAGACTGACTGCCATAAGAAGCACTATTTAGTACTGTGTGATGGTTATTTATTTGGAATTGGGGGTTTTGGATTTCTTTTTTTCACTTCTAGGTGAATGGTAAAATGATTCCCAATTGCTTCCCTTTGCACCCTGAGGTTCCCTTCCTCCTCACAGTCGAGCTTCTAGACCTAATCAATCGGACTGCCTTAACTGGTGCTTCACTGCAGTCACCCAACCTCCAAAACAGAGTGAGGAGAAAAATGCAAAGTTACACATTGCATTGCCCTTACCCTGCCACCCACTGCACTTCACGCGTGCACAGGGAGCGTGGGTCTGACGGGGTCCCTGTGCCTCTCCGCATCGCAGCCACCTCCAGCTGGAAAGGGAGACCATGGCATTGCCCACACGGTGCCAGGAGTGAGACCAGCTGTCAAACCCAGCCAGCTTGCCCCAGCACTGGGGGATGATCAGGGATCTCTGTACGATCGATCGCTTCCCATCTCTATTATTTTTTATAAATACGCACATTTGAAATCTCTCGTTCTTCCATAGGAGTTATGGAAATGCACAATGTGCTTTTAACATGCGCATCCTCTACCGAGTGCAATAACCTCCCCTGGCCCGTGGCTGTCCTGGACTTTGGCCATTGCTGTCAGCAAGGCAGAGAGGATCCTGCTGTGGGGAGAGCCTCCTGCTTCCAAGAACCATGTAGCAAATACACAGTGGAAGAGACAATTTGGATCTCAGTCCGTGGCGGGCAAAGCCTGTCATAATGCTGAAGGCTGACAGGGAGCTGCGTTTTTCTTCTCCCCGTGAATTATCTGTTACAAAACTCTGAGTTTCTTCAAGCTCCCCGTTATGCCTATATCATTCCTCGATAAATCTCTCAATATATATAAACAAATTTCTGTCTTGTTTTAAAAACAAGAAAGATTAAATATATTAATCTTAATATCCAAACTAGCATTTGTGTCTTTTTTAAGAACTTTGTGGAACGGTGGTTATTCTTAGCTGTACAAAACACTGTTCGTAAGCAAAACCCCCTATTTTTGTTGCTGTAGAAATGCACGTATCTCCATACTGGAAGGGTGCAGCTTAAGGACTCCACAACGGTTCCTGGACTCCACAGCAGTTAAGCACCAGCCTGTGAAGGAAGCCTTAAAGCAGCAAACATGCAGGTTTGAAATGAACTGTTTGAGTTGGCACAGTTTTGTGTTGTTAATGGGTGTTTGGGTTTAATTCCCCTCCAGGAAGGGAATGCCTCCAGCAGCACTCACCCCTTCACCACTGCCGCTGGGCACTGTGGCCATGCTGGGGACAGTGTGGTCCTCCTGGTGCCCGCAGGACACCCTCCTGCCCCTAAAGCAGGGGACAGCTGGGACACGCTTTGAGCCCCCTCTGATAGCAAAGTCCTGCCTGATCCCTTTCGGATGAGCCAAGCTGAGCACCCACTGACCGGCTGCAGTGCGTGTTTTCAGCCAAATGCCTGGCATTTGCTCTTCTGCCTGGGAAGAGGTGACAGTGTGCGACCTCCCATCGGTAGCCTGATGGTTCTGCTGCCCTGTGGGACTGCTCTGGTGTGTTTGCAGGGGAAAGCTCAGCAAAAGCGTAATGCCAGACCCGGGGAGAAATGTGAGCAAGGCAAACAGTTTCCTAGCTACAGATGATGTTTCCAACATCTTGTTCCCTCTGGGGACGCGTTTTGCCTGACACAATGAACTGCTCTCTGTTTATCAAGGAGGAAGGCATTGACGTGTGCCCTTCATGTGCCCCAAAGCCTCCAGGAACTATAAAAGCCAAGTCTGATAAAGATCCAACACAAAAAACTTAGGAACTGGGTCACTCTCTGTACGGGAGTTGAATGTGTTGTCTAAAGCAAAGGCAGCAGCAGTTGAGACTCACACGCATTCTCTGTGCCTCCAGGCTTGTTGTTTTAATCTGCATCACACCGTTTCCCATGCTGAACTAACTAACGATGACACTGAATGGGACAAAACACACCTATTTATAAAGCTGGGTATGGATCAAAAAATGGAAAAGCCAAGAGGTTTTCTAACAACCTCCAGAGCCTGAAAATATTATTGACAGCAGGCAGTTTAATCAGCAATTTCGGAGTCGATGCTTAGTACCATCTAGTGGGCAATCAGCACCCCATCAGAAAGGAACTGTCTTCACGACACACTGTTATTATTTGTACAGCAGTGGCAACAGGTGCTCCAGGATCAATCAAATGTCCCTGTGTGAAGGGAGGAGCTATACTGGTACGTACCCGAGCAGGATGATGAAGCCTTGCCTTTATTATTGCTGTACTCGTCTTTTAGGTGCTGTCCCTGCAGCCTCACTCTGTTGGGCACCTGCAAATACTCTTAAAGGTAATGATCCAGGTAAAATGTTCTAGCTAATGTTTTTAAGTCACAGATTTTCAGAAAAAAACTGCATCTCCATTACACAGCACAGAGAATTAAAAGTGGGGTTTTTTTCAAATCTTGTTCCCATTTCACTGTCCAGCTAGTTTATCTACCTGCAGACCACCTTGTTCTCACTTAGCATCAGCATCTCTTCAGATCAAAGCCACTGTCCCCCAGCAAGTTAAAGCAAAGTATATGGTTCTCGGAAGAGGACAATATTGTTTTGCAGGTATGTGTGCATAAAGATAAATCAATTATTCTCCGTCCCCTCTCACCAGAGCAATATGCCT